CAGACCATGTAGCGAAACAGAAGCTGAGCGATGCATCCATAATCATCTAGTTCATTCAGTAGGTATTAAGCGTGTAATTGTTGTGTAAATATTGGACGTAGACGGTCAAATACTTTAAATATCGCGATTTAAAGTTTCTGATTGAATCATTTCACCTGAAACTCAGATCCATATTGAAATCAGAAGTTCACGATTTTTCTCGATTTAACATTTCTTAAAAAGATTCAGCAGTAAATATAGAAAGCATGGTTTTATTGATCTTAAAGTCGCATCCGTAATCCAAGTAAATACTACGAACAAGGTGATCACGATAATTGAAATCACTTTGCCACGCTGTCTTGTATTTCTGACCGCTTTCTGCATGCCTCTCTTGCAGCAATTACATCCTCGTCACTGTCGGAGATGTATTCACTTGAAAATAGATATTTCTCGCAAGCTTTCCGAAAATTCACTGTGCAACCTTTGTTTAGTCTATCAGATATTATTTTCACGCAATCATTATTAATGCGGAAACCCCTGTGATAAATGATATCACGAATAGTTTCGTCAAACAGGCTGACTATCTGGGCATCATGAAGTAATTCTCTTCGCCAGTCTCCGTCCAGAACAACAAAGCGCCATTTAAGGCAAGACTTTAAAATAGCTAAATATCTCTCTATGCATTCTTCTCTGCAGATGATATCTGACAAAGTCCAAATGAACCCGCGCACAAAAGCGGCGAAGAATTTTGCATTATTGTTTCGCCTTTTTCCTATTATCTCCTTAAGAAGCAGCTCATAAACTTTTACTACGGTCGGTAGGCTCGTAGGTTTAACGAATTGGATCATGGAGCCGACATTTCCGATATCGGATGCGTCCTTTAATTGTGGAATCAGGTATTTAATTTGCTCTAAACCTTGGTCACAATCGATAGAGGCTAAAATTATGCCTTTCGCAGCATCTAAGATAAGTGGTTTCAACATTGCTTGCTCAAAAAGAGCAAACTCCATAGTACGAGCGAGATCCAACACTTCCAGCATATGATCTACGCTGCGTTGGCCTTTTAATGGTAGAAAAATAGAAATTATATAATTCCAACGATAACA